AGAAAACAGATATGTTTCCACTGCACTGATGAAAGCAAGGTGGGCCTTTAGCCATATTCAAGCAGTCTCGACTCAACTTGCTGCACCACCAAAAAGCAGTCGCGTCCTTAGTAGAAGGATGTACAACGTCTGGTCTGCCATCAGAGTCCGGGCAATCCTATCCCAGGCTGAACAAAAAAGGAAACTAAGAGTTGGAAGGCAGAGGGGCCATCTAACAAAAAAGAACACCGTAGCTGGGTTCGCCGGTAAACCCACCACCGATCCATGTGGTCCTAGCGTTGAACTCAAGGGAATGTCTGCGATCTGAGCGTACCCGACACCATGTACATGACATCATCTCCAATAGGAAAAATCCGATGTCCTGCCCTCTCTGATTGCTGCTCTATCCAAGGGGCAGGATGCTGAATTGCTTCTCCAAGTCCTGGTGGTGCTGCATATGGCCTGAACTTCGGCAGGCGAGTTGAATGGAAGATAAACAAGACTTCATCTTCTTTCGGATGTGGTGTCCTCAAATTGGGCAAGTCCCTTTGAGCATCAAAACGGCAGGTCCCCAGTTTCCCTTTGATCTCTTCCCTCCAGCGACTACATATCAAAGACCTCCAATTGCTTTAGGAAAACAATTTGTGCTTGGGGTGAAGCAACTCGCGTGTTTGCAAGGGCACTCCATACGTTCTTGGCAGACGGCAATGAAACCCAGGGATATAATCCTTTTGCACGTGTTGCTGAAAAGGTTGACATATTAGTCTGAAAACAGGAATCAACTACCACTTCAAAGACGACGCCCATCGTCGCTTTCCTGAAACATTGCAATCTTAAACAATGGCACCACCGAAATTGACGCCAGTCTCTGCTGTCTGCGTCCCAAACGCAAACGCGCCAATGCTCAGGGCCCAAATCAGCGACCTTTCTACCACCACAAGCCCAAACAGATCAGAACCGCTTCTTTCGTCAGCACCTCCAACTTCTGTACACACCTCACTCCCCCCACCTCACTCCCCCCGACCACACCCCCACCTCGCCCAACCTTCCCGGCCGAATCCCCACCGAGCGGCGGCTATGGGTCAGCACGAGGCCGGCCGTCTGCAGCGCCCGCACGGGGCCCGGCAGCGCGTCGGGGGGCCAATGCGCCCAGCGGTGCGCCGACTGAAACACGTGGCTCCACACCTCGGGGGCATAGGTGTAGATGATTAAACCACCAGGTAAACCAGAAATCGCCATCTATTCTTCTACCAAAACAAACAAAAAGGAGACCTATGCTCGGGGGGCTCGAACCGACAATTCCTGGGCCTGGTGGCCAGGAGGGCCACTCCGACAAAGGCAAAGCTGGTCAGGCGGGCAGTGGAATGTGATAGCCCGGAGTTGGTGGAACCCCCCCGGCTCGGGGTTCACGTCTTAGCACCCTGAAGACCAAAAAGTCGAAAGCTATTTCCTAAACTGCGAGCCGTGAGGAAGAACTTGATCTTCCTGAGTGAGTCTAGGACTGTAGAACCTTGGGAAGGGAGTGAATGTCAACCTCAATTGTGCTTGGGTGTCTTTGTGAGAAAATGGTTGTTGAACGCACGTCCATTAAGACGACTCTGCCTTCTGGCTGAGCTTTGCTTGAGGTTAGGGATCTTTTGTGGGCTTGCTTCTGAAAAACCCGCCAAGCATTTTGAACTCAATGAACTCAGTCGGGCGCTTGGCTCTCCTTCCGACTCGAGTCTCCTCACTCAACGAGCTCGAGCTAAGTATCTCCCTTTCCTCGTGGGTGGCTGCGCTGTTCGGGAGGAAGCCCGTCCCTTCACGTCGGAATTTCGGGTCCGGGACCGGGAAGCCCCTTGGAAAGGCTAAGCTCACATTCCATAGGTCAGCCGCTTTCAAGGGAATAACGGCGTGAACCTCAAATGGTCCCTTTAAATAACAATAACCCACCAAAAGACAACTCGGCCAAAATTGGGCTTTTTCAAAAGGTGGTATCTTCAAAAAAAAAACATGAGCCCCGCAAAGAGCTTGTACACTCATAGAGGTCCTTTGACCCCTCCTTTTGCAAAGAACATGTGACATTGGCAAGTTAGTGGACCCAAACTGAAACCAATGGAATCCGTCGACCAACTGACCTGATGTCCTACGCATTTTCCGCCAAACCAAAATCGGAAAGGACGCCGTCGGATTGTAAACCCAGAAAACCACAGAAGCTTTCGCTTGCTGAGCCCAAAAACTGAGACTCACAACTCAGAATGCTTTGGGTTGGGAACATTGGGCAAAATGTTTTAAAACATGGGCCCCTCTAAAGGGAAGCCCCAAGGAAGTCGCTCAAACAATTCTTCACACATCCCCCTTTTTGTCCCTCACGTAGCTGACTCGGGGCCTCACACGTTCTAAAGTCAAGATCTCTCCGGTCTCTGGGGCCCTGGGGCCCTGGGGCCCTGGGGACCCTGGGGACCCTGGGGCCCGGGCGATGCCCCAGACCCAGAAGAAGCGCAAGCCCCTGGAGCTGGGCGCCAGCCTCAAGGCCAGCCTGGCGGAACTGTTCGCTCGCTGGTCGCCTTGAGGCAAGATATGCTGGTGAGTTTCCGGGAAAGGGACCTCACATTTCCGTGAACTGGGGGAAGTCGGGTTGGGATCCTTCTGAGCACAGTTTATCACTGGGGTAAGGGTCGGTTCCCTTATAAGTAGGGGTTAGGCCTAGTCACAGCGTTCGTTTTTGCCCACTAGATGCGCAAGCTGACTGATTCAGGAAGGGGGCTACCCTCCCATGTTGTCATGAATCCCAGAAGGTCCCAAGAGGAAACACTGCGTGTTGGAAGTGCCAGTCATATATTTTGGGGACGTACATCCCTATGGATGCGTCCGAAAATGGGCAGGCAGCCCCTTCTCGGATTGTGACAAGCAGAAACAAAGGTAAATCCGCTCAACAACGACATGACATACCTCGAAAGCCGTCCAGCAAAACCCGCCAAAATCGAAGAAGCCAGACAACTTCCTTCCCAAATTCTATCCCACAGACCAAACAACTCAAAAAACGTCCTCAGGTTCGAACACAATTCGTCCAGGGGAAAAACCGAAGGAAGCCAATCACCTTTGGGGGTGTTGGTCTTCTCTTACTCGGAACCCGGTCCGAATCTTCGATCCGAGCAGCAGGACCACCGCACAGAGCAAATGGGTGTGAGAGGCGTACTCGAACCAACTGATGCGCAGAATGGCCGTGGGGTCCTCGTGGTGGTATCGGAAGCCCCCCGCGAGGCCTCGAGAACTGCCGGTAAAAGCGGCGAGCGTCTGCGTGGTTGGGCCAATCCCGGAAGCAACATCCCTTTGGTTCAGTCGGACCAGAGGTGATTGTTTGAAGAAGTCTTGCCCAATGCCAGAGAGTCAGTGCCATTTCCGGAGAGAAAGTGACTGAATCAGTAAAATGACGTCTTCAAAGGGAAACCAAGGGAGTTGAGACATAACCCACGCGCCGACAAGGTGCCTCCTAGCACCGGCAAGAAGGTGGGAGCGTAGTCCAGGATCAAGTGGATGACCCCAGAACAGAAGTCCTGACCAACGAAAAGGAGCGTCTCAAATGAGGATCCCTCCCTGTGGCAGACCCTTGGTTTCCCTTCAAACCAACTCCTGAGTCACCCAGCAAGAGAAAACATCTTTTCAGCTGGACGTGTGTGGAATCGCACTACAATCCTGGTACGTTGAGGCTTCCCACCACAACCATGCCGCCGAAACGGTCTTCTTAAATGGACAACTGCCAGGGACTAACAAAGGGCTGCAGTGAGAGTCGGAATAGGAGCCCCCTTTTGCATGCGAAAATACAAGTCGCTGATTCTGTTTGAGGCACATTGGCAGGGGAAACCCTGTGCAAATCAGAGATTCTGCAGGGAATGTTGGTTGATTGTGTACAGAACCGGGTCAACTTTTGAAATAGCACTACAAAGAATGAGGTGACACATGTATAGATGTGTACATATACATATATACATACATATATATATATATACATACGCCAAAAACAATAGGATACCCAAACATGGCTAGTTTCCATTTAACTCTCCCCAAGGAGCTCCCAAATCTTTGGACGTCATTCCAGTCCGAGGCTCCATGTACACAAAGCACAGCGCCACAAGCAGAGCCCGCGTGCCTGACGCGCCAGGTGGCCCAAACCCAGCGGCAAAAATGTGTTGGGGCGGGGGGATTGTTTGGCTTGCACCTAAGCCTTGAACACTCATACGAAAGGCGGGGTACATCCAATACTGATTCAGAGCCAGAGCAAGGGAAGCCATAGGAGGGATATGGCTATTTGTCACTAGTTTAGAATGGCTCCCGGTTTCATGGCATGGTTTCTCAGCATATGAGTGTGACCTGGCATTCAACATCCATACGAACCATTCAATATGGCTATGTGGGAAACCCCATTAGATTCATGGGCCTCGTCAGCTGGGAGCTATCCACCAACCGAAACCTAGCGGAGGGCTGTCGGCCCCTCGGGTTATTTAGACTTAGTTGAGCCTTAAACAGCGATTGACATCTGAAAGACCGCACGAATCAGAGCACTCCCCGTAAATACATCACTCCACCCGAAAAAGACAAAGAAAGAGAGAGAGAGAGAGAGAGAGGTAATCTCCGCGACGGACTTTGTTAGTCCGAAGTGAGGGTTCAGGCACCCTCTCCCTACTCCAAATACCAATTGTTTGTGTTTCTTGGGGCATAATTTGGGAAAGCATACAGTTCAATACAATCCCACCTTCAGCATTCTGACGTTGATGTGATATCCCAACAAAAGGGGTATCCCTTGCTCAGCTGCTTCGCAAACAACAGGATCGGATGATCGGGCTTTTCCTAAGAGCAAGCACTTTTTTTAAGATGGGTTTACCGACAAAGTGCAATGGGGCAAAAAGAGGTTCATTTGAGGATCCTAGAAAAGTGCTCTTTTGGAAATAAAAGTAGGGACCCCGCCCAATGATTGTTGTTTGGTTTGTATTTCGACGGAAGGGATCCGCAGAACAGGGGTCCCTTGTCATCTTTGTCCCATTTCTGTCTCAGACTGACCCCCGTGTTGCATAGTGTTCAAAGGATACCACAAAAGATGCCAAACATTACCCCAACAATTTTGTTTACCACTCATTGAATTCTCGTTTGCAGGTCTGTTCTTTGGCGTAGTCTTAGGCCGAAGACCTGCCCAGGACCTGATTTCATAGGCTGACCTCCCCAGAAGGGGTCCCGTATGTCACAGACCCTTTCTCAGGTGCTAGATCAGGATTCGCGGGTGAAAAGAAAGACTTCCACAGGCGAAAACCAACTCAGTAAGTAGGTTACAACCATGGATCTAACCGCAGTAACTGGGGTAGGTTGCCCTTTTGCCGTGAGTACGTGATCTCACCATGGTAACTGGAAAACTGGTGGTCGTTCCCATACCCTGGTTGCAACCTACTTGCCGGGAACATCCAAGTAGACCCCGGCCTAGGGACAGCGGCGAGCCAGCCGTGGGCGTCAGGTCCGCGAGCAAACCGCCATAGACCAGCCACAGGGCCAACTGCACCACCCTGGCGACTTTGACAGGAAACACTCCGGGTGGGGGGGCGGGGTTGCACCTTGGCAACCGGCAAGTGTTTCATGTATAGGTGTGTGCATATCAACTATGTCAATATTATTGACAAGCACGTATCTATACGCCTATTTCTGTGTAGTGAACAAAATCATATATATCTATATATATATATGTATATATATATATATGCATGTACGTATGCACAGTTGTTTGTTGTACCAAAAATTTGCCAACGGAACCTGAAACACGCCCGGGTTGACAGAAAAACGACTGGGTCATTACCCCTCTTTCCAACAAAGCAAAGACCACTGCCTTTGGAAGACTATCATGTAAAAAAGTTATGCTGCCCGCGTCCTTTCAAGTTGTGTTTTGGATTGATTGAGTCTGAGCTTCTGAATCTAAGCATTCCACTTCCTTGGGTCTGAGTCTAAGCATAAGCACGACCGTCTTTTGGCTCAAGCGCCGCAAAACGCCAAACCCCTTTTGTTTCTTTAGCGCAGCTTTGCTCATCGAGCGTCAGGACCGCAAAGGCGCTGAGCTTCATCAGCGCGGTCAAATTCCAGTCCACTGCCTCACTCCTCAGATCGAACCTTCCGACCTGGGGATCCATGTCCAATTTTGGAAGCCCAATGGAAATGGCGAAAAACGCATCCGCTGAAAGGGGTCCATGTTGAGCCCGACCCATTTCTGTGGTGTTGAGGGATCCGAACTTGGACATTCACCCCGCGTCAAGCACTCGGTTGCGGCTGATACAAAACAGATCTATCGCACGCATATACATGTGTGTCTGCATGTATGTATGACCAATATTGCCTTTGGCTATCCGAATCACATTCCTATTCTTACTATATGCGCTTGTTGCGAAGTGTTTCCAATGTGTAAGCTATGTGATAGAACGTCCTATGATATGCTGAATAGTATAAGTGAGTGAAATCAAATGAAAAATTGATTTGCACAAAAATCATACTCTCACAATAAGACGTTGTATGAACGATTGCGATTGCCCTTCATGCAGCTACCAATGATAGACCTGTAAGCTACGGAACAAAGCAACTGTGTCCAGAAATCACTTGCAGCAGCAATAGTCAGACATATTGCAGATGAAAAGACATGCAACTGAATTTCCACTTGCCCTACAGTAGGCGCCAAGTGTGGGTATTCAAATGTTCAATCAGCACTTGCGTTAACGCTTCCTAGCAATATGTCTATCAATGCCTTTGATAGATATCCAACGAAACAAAAAAAAAAAAAACATGGTTATTCAATAAACATCCATGTCTAGTCGATGACAATCGCTACAACAGGTGATAAGTGGCATCTATGCGAGCATCGGGATTACACTTTGCATACATATCCAAAACAGAACATGTTGAAAAACATGATCATGCTGGCGCGATCAGAGTGCCAAGAATCGCTGGACAATACACAATAAAAAAAAGGGACTAATAGGTCCCCAGTTTCAACACAAAGGTGGTGTGGAAATTGCGCATCGCATGACTATTGTAGTTGTTTCTCATCGTTCTACAAACACTTTGCAGTATGACATATGAATATGTAATATCATATTATTGGTTTGCCAAACAAACATGGCTTGTGTGTTTACTGAAATACAGAAACTGATAGCAATACACATAAACACAAATGCAATGCAAAACATGATGAAAGAAGTTGGTGGCAAAGACAAAGAATTAAGCATCTGCCGGGCGTCCCCTGTAGACGGTCAAAATAAAAGGCTCGAAATGCCTTCTCGTACTGATCCGCATCATAGTCCTGAGGCAAAAGGAAGTAAGAATTCATCCAGCCTACAAAACCATGGCAAATAATCAGAAGGGCGGATATCTGCACCATGTGTGGCAGGCGAGAAGTCCTGCACGGACTCAAAGAAATGGGGAAATTGCATCTGGCAACGCGTTCTCTACCACTCTTCCCCCGACGCGTAAGCTCTCGCATCCCAGGGCCCAGCCTCTGCGCAGGACGTGGGGTGGGAGTGGGCATCGGCCCTGGGCGCGGCGGCAGGGGCAGAGTCTCAAAAGCGGGCTGCGCCAAGCCCATGGGATGCTTGCCATGGTCCACGCACTCTGCCAAGGGGCCCACGACTCGCGACTCTCCCGCCTGACCCCACGAAAGCGTCCCCTTTGACCCCTTGAAACCATCCCACAGGAAGTGGACTCTTTTCGATGCTCGGACTTCCGAGGCTTGGAAGGTTCGACAAACCTGTTAAACATTCGATTTCGCACCGCCTCCCGCAGATGTTGCTCTCCCTTGACAATAGAATTCCCCTCTCTACTTTCGGGCAAGAACCGCATCAAAGCAGGTGTTTCCCCCTCTCCCGCGTCACCCCCGACCACTTTGGACGACCCTCCCCCTATCATATTAGAACCCACGTTTGCGCCAAGCACCAAAGCCAACACGAAAACCAAACCACAGCCAAACCAAAACGACCACATGACAACATGACCATGAGTTAAAGCAAGACAAAAACCAGCCAAACTAAAGGCTGAGTCGGGCGCCGTGCGGTAGGGTGGGCTGGGTGCGAAATCATCCAGCGCCTGCGCGGATGTTTCGATTCCTTCCTGAGACGCTGGTACTCTCCGCTCCGTTCAGAAACCTTTCTTGCAAATCTTGCTTTGAACAGCGTCCGTCCAAGGGAGTCGGTGCCTGAAGAAAGGGGAGGATCAACCTGCAAATTGAGGGCACCCGGAGATGACTTCAGCTTTGTCCGTTCCAAACCACCGATCAGTTCCCTGACGGGGATGTGAATCAAAACGAGTCAGGGTTTGTTGACGGGCAGCTGGGAGGATCCCTTTCTGCTTGTCTGCCCAGAACAACTCAGTGATTGCTCCTCTGCAAGTCCGCCACCCAAAAGAAGATTCCTCTACAAGCGATGGTTGGTGGGGTTGGTGACTTTCACCATGGCACAACACGCCACCAGGGCAGCACAGAACACCACACCAAACAAATAACTGGGACACCACTGGCACACCCACCTTCGACGGCTCAAGGCGCCAAACGACAGAGCCGGGCCCTTCTAGTGCCCAAACTCATGGGGCCCTAAAACACACCAACACCCCAGCCTCAACCAACCCCTCCCCAATTCCTCTGAGACTTGCCATTGGGCCACTACCCCCAAACCCCCGCCTCAACCAACCCTCCCCATTTTGTGTATGGATTCGATGTCTTTGCGATGTTTTCTTGCGCCGTTGGCCCGTTGCACTACCAGTTGAGATGCCCTCGGGCTCCTGTACTCGAAGTTCTGGTCCACCTGGAAGTCCCCCAAAGCCTTCGGGGCCCAGCGGCAGCAGGGGTCCCCCAGCTCCTCCCCGTTGCTCAGTCCGTCCTCGGCAAGGATGTTCCCTCGCGGAAGTCAAGGGCTATTCCAAGGGGCTTGGAGCTGAAGTTTTATTCTGGTACTTCCTTACAAGCTTATATTGGTGGCAGAAGCGTCCATACCTCCAAAACCCAGACCTGCAAACAGCCTTGATTCCGTGGGTGTAAGCATGGCAATGGCACTGACCCCAATCCCACGAAAGAAAAAAATGTTGCAACTGGGGTTGGTATGCCTGATAAATAGGGCCTATCTGAACTTGAGGGGGTAGCTCACACATGTCACCATAGTTGTAACCTCAAGCAGCAGGCTTCATGAGGCCTCCTCTCTTGCATCACACCTTCAAACCCGTCAAACCTGCAAGCGCAGACCCGCAAGAAGCGGCCTGCGCGCTGGGCCAAAAGGACATGGACGGTGAAGCCAATCTTTGGGCTCACTCGCGAGTGGTGCGAGTGCAAGTGCTGGTCACTAACTCTTGGGAACTGGGCGTGTGTGTTCAGGTTCGAAGGGGAAACCCGCCAAAACTGCCAGTTTCAGGGAGTCCCCCCATTTTGAAACATACCCTGGGGTCAAATGGAGTGGCAGACTGCATTGCGGCCAAAGCTGCGCCATCGGAATCCATGACGCAGAGCGCCTAGCGAAAACCAAGGGCGGGGTCCAAGGCTTAAAACGTAGTTGCTTGAACATCAAGCAGGGCAAGGTTCCTATCCAAAAGAACCGATGAATAGGATACTTACGCAAGCCGTAATTGAAGTTGTCCCGCGGTATTCGCCTGGAGTCGATGTATTCACCGCGGACACCTGCGCATCCTAAGAGATTCCTGCCTAGCTGCATCGAACGCAGCAGACGGATGTGTCCTAATGTAGTTAGTAGATGGTGTATCGCAGTATTCATTGTTTCATCCATCCCGGCTGTATGTCCATCTGCAGAAACACCTTTAGATGATTGAGTTCGATCAAAATGCAAATCCTCATGGCCAAGCAAGCCTGCCAGGAAGTGTTCCGCGCCAGGATGTGCAGCCCGAACTGGTTGATCGGGTAACGCCGCTCCTGACCACCGCGAGCCGCCCCTGCTTTCTTGTATTATTTACTTTGTTATTTGTCTGCTTGCTTATTTATCTGTGTATTGTCTTGTTTGACTTGTTGTTTATGTATTCGTGTATTGATCTATTTATTTAGTTGGGGGGGGTGGTTGTAGAAAACTTCGGGAAGTTAAGCAGACAGGAAGAAAAACAGGAGTTAGGGTGAAAGGTTACAGAAATGTTCAGCAAATCGGGAAGCTTTGTTCACCTGTAAGGCTGCCGAAGTCAAACTATGCTTAGATATCTTTACGTTGCCCCAAATGAGTAGGGATCTTCCTGATTGTTGGGCCGGTTTGGCCCAGGGGTGGAGAACCAGCCAAAACGGAAAATAAACGGACCCCTGTTGCAACATGACCAAGAAAGAAGGGAAACCGGGAACGCCCGACCGGCAACGGGCGTGCGCAATTACAGAAAGGGCTTCCCCCACAAACAGGATCTATGGAGCAGGCAAAACTGAGCCCATTTCTCCCTTCATCTTTGGTCATCTTTTCTCATTAGGGGTACTTGGGCCCCCAACTGGAAGGCTTAGACGTCAGCTATGGTGATTTTTTGCTTAAAAGCTGGCCCTTTGCATGCATCATGAATCTGGCCTAAAAAAAACGGAGAAAGCAGTCAGCCTGTTTGCAGGTGCCCAAAAAACTTCGAAAGATCCTACCGGTTTACGGTTCTCGATATCAACCCTTTTTGAGGTTCGCGAGTCCGGTGAGAGCGCCTGGGAGAGCAGCCAGCTGCCGTAGGTGTTGGTGTCCACCAGATTCCAGGCAAACCACACCTTTCAGTGCGGGAAGCTTTCTTGGAGAACCTTTGTTCTTTGCATGCCCCCAAACACGTAACACAACAAAACAACCACATTAAAAACGAAAAACCGAAAGAATAATAGCCTGCCAAGAACAGTGAAGACACATGATCGTAGTTCGGGATCTTCCGCGCGAGCTCCCGGAAACTCGGTCGGCGAGTCGGTGCAGACGGGGGTTTGGGCAGGAAAATAACCGTCACATCGGAGGCTTCTTCAAGGATACATCCAACAACCTGTACAGGGGAGATTGCCAAGTGTTGTTAGAAGCCCCTGGTAAGTGGGTTCAACTGACCGGCAAAAAGCTCGACCCTCTGCGCCAGCGGGCAGGGAAAGAAGCTGCTGCTGCGGTGGATCAAGTAAACCAACCATATTCCACAGAAAACTACAGGTCTTGCTCCCTGCTTGCAACATGTAAGGAATCGAGCGAGCGGGAAACTGTCATGCGAATGGAAAGGTTAGTGGATCAAACCAAAGAGCAACCAAAGAAATCCGAGGGAAGAAGAGGGGGGCTCAAAGCCAGATCAGCTGAGCATCTGTAACCCCGAGTTGAGGGTCTTCCAACGGATAAGTTTGAAACGAGGCTTACCCCAGGGTCCGTGTTTCACAAAAAAGGCTGTAGTCATGTTCGCGTTCTCCTGAAACCAACCCTCAGAATTACACTAGCAATCAAGCAAAATGGGACACCCATCTTCGAGATGTGGCCGAGTCGACTACACCGGCCCGGTCGAACCCACCGCTTCCAAGGCGCTCGGGATGGTCCGCAAAGGCCAGGCGCTCCCGCAAGGCACGCTCCAGGCGCAGCCCCACAGCGCAGCCCAGAGAAAACAGGAAGAAGCCTCGACTGGTTGGTTTCACAAACGCGCTCTCCCAACAAAATGAGAGGCACATGGGCCCAAAACTAATATGCTGCGGCCAAAAAGCAGAAATTCTAAGCCAGGACATTGGCCGAAGTATTTGCTGTGGGCCAAGCTTGTTCCAAAGGGGCAATAATAATCAAAAATGGGGTCCTCTAAAAGAATCAGAGAACCTCCAGACAAGGAAGCCTCGCCAACCACCCATAGTTCTCAGAGAATGAGGGAATGAGCTACTGCAACGTCTCAAATGCTCACTTGGGGTTGAACCCAAAAAGCCATCCATTTGTACAACAGCAATGTTCGTGTGAAGAACCCTCTTTTTTGATGCCTATGTGGATTTGGAGGAGAGTAGCGCTGGGCTCCAATCCAACATCAACGCTATGGCTTGTTGTACAGCAATCTTACCCTGGTATCACATCATTACAGTACAAAACCCCTAAAACCTTGGTAAGCCTCCAAACAGATATATATTTGAAAAAAAAAAAAAAAACGTGGTATGTGTCAACGTGCAGCACCCCCAGAAAGGATAAACCAACCCCCTAGAAGTACCTCAAACCAGCGCAGACCGTGAAACCCCTTGCTCAACGCTTGACGCTGTGGTGCGCTCGCTCGACCGGGGCTCCGCACCTAGCAGCCAGCGGCTCTGCCACAACACACGCGCCCCATCGCCCATGAGGCCGAGAAGTGACTTTCGGCTTTCGGCCACTTTCGCAGAATATCGAAGTGAGTGATGGGATTCTGACCGGTAGGTCTGATGCGGGATTCTGGCAACCTGCCCGATTAACAGTTGAGTGCTGCTCGGGTTCAAGTTCAGGGCGAGATATGTGTTATTCCCCCATCCCGTTGGGGTTTCAGTTTCACGACCAAGACCATCTGAACCCCCCAACGCAAACTAAACCAAAAGGGCTGCCGTTTGAGGAAAAAGTCGGTTGCCACTCAAGAGGGTGGGCATCGTGGGACAAGTGATGGAGCCTTTCGCTGACTGCTGCTAAAGCTCGTGTCGCTTTCCGACATGAAGCTCGGACCCTCTCCAACCTGGAGCAAAGTCTGCGCGGGCATCTATGCCTCTCGCTCACTCCTACCCGGCAAGGTCATGTGAACTTTTGGATTGATCTGCAGGACCACACCAACCAGACGAGTCCCCAATGGTCCACTCAAAGTCGGTGGATTCGCACCGCCTCAGTTCAACTTGTGAACCTGACTGTGCACAATGGCAACCCCAACCACCATTGCTTCAAGTTCAAAAAAAAACTAACTAAGCAAATACCTTTGAAGCATGCTCTGACGTCTGGATGTACATGCACGTAATATATATGTATATATTAAATATGTATATAATATATATATATACACACACACACGTGTTCCTACTGAAAAGGGCTATGGAATTCACGTAGATGCGTATAGATATGCGCGTGCACATACATGTTTGGGAAACCCTGATACGCGACCCATGTCTGCTTGGAGTCCAAGTGTGTGTTGGGCCGATATCTCGCTAAAACATGGCGCGATGTGTGTTGTGCTGGGGGACTAAATAAACAAGAAAAGCAATGTCAATCAACCACCTTCCAAAGATCTGAATTTCTACCCAGACCCTTCCCCTTCTCCAGGATCCTTCTCTCTGGAACGGGGCTTCAGAAACTGAACAGAAAGGGATCAACTCTGAGAACTCTGGGCCAGAAAGCTTCCAAACTCAGGGATCCCGGCGGGGCCAAGTCCGAGAGCTTCGGAGGGTGCAACCTAAGCCGCGGCTCCCTCTCCGTCCCTCTCTGGGCTTTCAGTTGAATTCGGCGCTTGCTGGACATGTGTGGATTCTTTAGTGGACCATCTTGGTGTACATCTTGGTGCCATCTGTCTCTTCAACCAAGATGTGTTGCTCTGCAAATCCACGACGCCCATTGACGTTTGGGTCAAGGCGATGCCGATGGAGGCTTATCAGGGTATCTAGAGAGAGAGAGAGAGAGATTCACAGATTCACCGCATAGGTAGAACCCTTGCTTTGCATAGTATGCCAACCCAACATTACGTCGCTTGCCCTTGGATTCACCCAGGTCGATCACCCCCGACGTGGTTCGTGTCAAAAGCCAGACTTCGCGGGAAGTTGGTCGTCAAGCAAAAGCATTGACTGATTTTCGAGCGGTGGAATGGATTTTGGGCCATCTTCAAGCCGGATTATACAAGCTCAAATGTTGTGGTGGCAAAAAAAAAAAAAAATACTGGTCTGCTTAGAACCACCAGCATTGATGAAAAAGTATAATGGATGATCAAAATAAAATCACAAACCTTCACCCCAGGATCCTTTTGCCTGCCAGGTCTTGAGATGGGAGGCCAGCTCGCTTTCAAGTTATCAAAAAGTCGCTTCTCGAATCAAGGAAACCTCTAACTCAGAAAGGGATCTTCATCGAGGGGCTCAAGCTCGTTTTATCCCGAATGAATGAGCTCGATGCCATACCAACTACTCATTGGTTCTGCAAATGCTAAGCTGACTCATATGCAAAATGATTGTCATAGATCACAACTGTGCGACGTCACGTGGATGTTCAACCCAGTTTACTCCGTAGGCCACCATGCTCAAAAGAAAACTAAATTTCAGTTGCTCCAGTTGCAGCCACGGCTATAACTTCCAATCGAATGGTGTTGAACACGGTCGCAGAGACCCGATGGTCTACCTGACGTCGGTTGAAGCCAAATAGGTCCCGGGCAGGCGGAAGCCGCCGGCCTGGTCCAAAGCGGGGACAGCCGTATTGGTGTGTGTGTGTGTGTGCCTGTGTGCATGTCGAAATGAGTCTGCCTCTATAGAAAATTGTGTATGTATATATATATATAGCATATATATATATATATATATGTAAGTAAGTAAGTAAGTACATGATATATGATAATATGTGTGTGCATGCATACTCCATATATTTATATAGTGCTTCTTTGCCTGTGCAGACTATACAGCACAGAAACCTGCTCAGGCATATCTGGTTGAGCCCTTCCAGCACAGTCCTTGTCCCCTGCCAAGATCACTTCAAAGGGAATCTCCAGGAAAATTGGAACTAAAGGATCATGTTTAACCCACCCGCACCCAGTAGTGGAAATGGGTAGGATGGTTCCTCAGAAAGCACTGTGGGTGGTGTTTGAATCCGTCGCTCTGACTGATTAAAAGGGAACTGTCTCTTGCCGCTCACAAGGCGTCACAAAAGATGGGTCTCGGGGTCCATGTCTTGGCGTTCGAGAAATCAAAAATCAAAGGGAAAAAAATGGTGTCACAGGTGGGTCTCAAACGAGCCGAGTTAAGACATGCGAGCCGCGGTCAGTATTCGTTGTGTCCCCATTCCGACTTTGGTGAGTAACCTCGCCTGCTTTGGTTTGTGTGTCCAACATTGCTCATGCAGATATGCCGCGAAAGAAGTCAACTTGGCTGCCTTTTTTGAGACGCACCAAAAACCACGCCCCCATGATTTGTTTGATACATCGTCACAACGTGCAAGTTGCTGGTTTGCTCTCGGCTTTCTGTGCACACCACCTAAAAAGGGTCCCAAATTGCTGGATCATGTCTTTCTCCAGTCGATCTTCTCCCATTTCACATTCTTTCCAGGGGACCCTCTTTTCAGGAACATGCCAACACCCAAACGACAGATTCTCAAAAGAACTCGCGGTGAACAGAATTAGCGGACAACTTCCAGGAACTTCAACACATGTCAATAACAAATCAAAGGAACACAAAACAAAAAACACCCAAAGCATCTACAAATAACCTTCAGATCTCACCCCAAGCAAAACCCCCGGGTCTGACCGATCTTGGGCCTTCTGGAGGCACTGGGAGAAGGCCGAGGCCCGTTTGGAAACCTGCAGCACTTGCGGGAGAGAGGAGGATTTCTGCTGCGAGCTTTCGGTTTTTCTCGGAGGCCCTAGCTCTCCGTATTTGGCAGTAGTCACCCTTGGCTGCTTGGTTTTGCTAGAGGGGGGGGGGGGGTTCATTTGTTGGATTTGTAAGACTTGGAAAAAGATATGAATTATCGGCGCATCCTGTTGGGTGGGAACTCTGGCTCCCGAGCTCCAAAAGTCCACTAGATTGGAACATATCCTTGCGACGCTGGCAAGTCTAGTAGCTCTGGCCCGGGGCCAGGGGACATTGCTCTTCCCCTGGCTCCAGCCAAAAGCCTCACCCGAACTCTCGCGTTGCCCCTCAACTTCCGACGGACACCTCCCAGTACTTCGCAGATTGGCACCCGCTCCATCGAAGAAATGCCAGGAAACGTCACTTCACCGCCCGGGGATTTGAGAGACTCAAAGGAGTCCGCACCAAACCCATCAAGAAAAGGAAAGCTCGCCGCGTGGCCCAGACCTTCCCCAATCCGAAAACCAGTTCGATCGTGACTCATGAGCAAAATCACCACCTAACAGAAATCATACACCGTACTTCAAATGGCCGCGAAGCGCTGGAGAATTCTTGGATCAAGCAGGTGATTGAGGAGCCAGCGGTTCCATCCACATACCTCGCAACTCGGTCTCTCCAGCAAACCCTACAAGCCGTGGCTTGTGTTATTGCATGCTTGCTGAATGTTTGTTCTTTCTTTCTTTCTTTCTTTCTTTCTTTCTTTCTTTCTTTCTTTCTTTCTTTATTTCTTTCTTTCTCTCTCTCTCTCTCTCTTTCTTTCTTTCTTTCTTTCTTTCTTTCTTTCTTTCTTTTTCTTTCTTTCTTTCTTTCTTTCTTTCTTTCTTTCTCTCTCTCTCTCTCTTTCTTTCTTTCTTTCTTTCTTTCTTTCTTTCTTTCTCTCTCTCTCTCTCTTTCTTTCTTTCTTTCTTTCTTTCTTTCTTTCTTTCTTTCTTTCTTTCTTTCTTTCTTTCTTTCTTTCTTTCTTTCTTTCTTTCTTTCTTTCTTTTTTTTCTCTCTCTCTCTCTCTCTCTCTCTTTCTTTCTTTCTTTCTTTCTTTCTTTATTTATCTTTCTTTCTTTCTGTCTTTCTTTCTTTCTTTTCTTTCTTTTCTTTCGTTCTTTCTTTCTTTCTTTCTTTCTTTCTTTCTTTCTTTCTTTCTTTCTTTCTTTGTTTATTTTCTTTCTTTCTTTCTTTCTTCCTTTCTTCCTTTCTTTCTTTCTCTCTCTCTCTCTCTCACTCTCTCTCTCCCTCTCTGAAGTTCAAACAACATATCTTGCATCAACCTGTCCCGTCTCAGGAGGGTGATCTCGGATGTCGCCTCGCCCTGCGCTCGGCGTGTGTTAACCGCAGGATTGGAGTACGGGGTGCAAGGAGGCCGTGCCACCACAGCAGTTTGACCAGGGCTATGTGTTGAGAAGAGGCCAGTGGCACCTCGGAGAAAAAAAAGAAGAAAAAAAACAGGGCTATGGAATGAGTTGGTTGCCTGAACACTGCGCCTGCGCACCCCATTTTGCAACAACGATGAATGTTATCTACTTGAGCTGTACCACGTCTGATATGCTGAAAGCATTCATTGGACAATGACTGCATCTTTACGCGAACATTTGGATACCGTTGTGACATTTCTGACGTGAATGTTGCAACAGTTCTGAACCCACGGGTTTGCAAGCAAAACAGCAGAGTTGAATACCCAACTGTACCACGAGAAACGCAATCCGATGAAGACCATCAAAAACCACCAGTGCCTACAATGTCGATGTGTTACCTTCGGTGATCAGCTTCCCCAAGTTGCTTTGGTTGCAAATGGGAACCTTCCTTCCCATTTAGGACTCAAAAGGTGTTCAA